GCCACCATGCCCAGCTAATTTTTTTGTATTTTTAGTAGAGACGGGGTTTCACCATGTTGACCAGGATGGTCTCCATCTCTTGACCTCATGATCCACCTGCCTTGGCCTCCCAAGGGATTACAAGCGTGAGCCACTGCATCCGGCCAAGAAATTTCTTTTATTTTCTTTCTTTCTTTCTTTCCTTTTCCTTCTTTCTTTCCTTCTCTCTATCTCTCTCTCTTTCTTTCTTTCTTTTGGAGACAGTCTCACTCTGTTGCCAGGCTGGAGTACAGTGGCGCGATCTTGGCTCACTGCAACCTCCGCCTTCCCAGCTCAAGCAATTCTCCTGCCTCAGCCTCCGGAGTGGCTGGGACTACAGGCGCATACCACCATGCCCAGCTAATTTTTTGTATTTTTAGTAGAGATGGGGTTTCACCATGTTGACCAATATGGTCTTGATCTCTTGTGATCCACCCACCTTGGCCTCCCAAAGTGCTGGGATTACAGGCCCAAGCCACTGCACCTGGCCAGAAATTTCTAAGTAGCAAAGCATTCAAGATGTGGCCTGGCTGCTTCTAACATCTTATGTTCAAATGCAGGAGCAAATAAATGAATTAAAGTTAGAAATTATATGTACAGGAAAAGCAGAGCATAAAAGTTTGGAAAATTTGCAGCCTGGCCATGTGACAAAGAAAGAAAAAGCTTTTTCAGGAGTGGAGCTCTAGCAGACTGTGGAGTAACCACTTGTTAGAGAGATCAAGACAATAAGAAACAGGCCTCTCTTTTCCGCCCACTCCTCCCTCCCCGCTAGCGCTGCCCCGGCTGCACAGCTCTCCCTCCGAGCTAGTGCCGCCGTCCTCTCCCGTCAGCCACCATCATGATTATCTACTGGGATCTCATCAGCCATGATGAGATGTTCTCTGACATCTACAAGATCCGGGAGATCGCGGACGGGCTGTGCCTGGAGGTGGAGGGGAAGATGGTCAGTAGGACAGAAGGTAACATTGATGACTCGCTCATTGGTGGAAATGCCTCTGCTGAAGGCCCCGACGGCGAAGGTACTGAAAGCACAGTAATCACTGGTGTCGATATTGTCATGAACCATCACCTGCAGGAAACAAGTTTCACAAAAGAAGCCTCCGAGAAGTACATCAAAGATTACATGAAATCAGTCAAAGGCAAACTTGAAGAACAGAGACCAGAAAGAGTAAAACCTTTTATGACAGCGGCTGCAGAACAAATCAAGCACATCCTTGATAATTTTAAAAACTACCAGTTC